CTGGGCTTTGCTAAGGAGTCTAAACACAAAGGTTTTAATGAATCTGATGCACCAGTGTTGGTTGGTAGGAAAGGAAGAGTTAGCCCCTCTTTTGTTAAAACATACAATGAAAATTCACAGTATATGGAAATTATACAGCAGAAAGGAGTGAGAGGTTGGTAATCTCAGGAATGTTATATAAATCTTTCTTTTGGGAGCTGAATGAAATCTTTGCCTCTTTAGAGGTTATGTGCATTCTGGGATTTATCATTTGATGATCACAGTTACGGTGACATTTTGATGTCATTACGATGACATTACATACGGTAATGTTTTAGGACCTTGACAGTAACAGCTACTCACATAGATTATGTCTTGTAGAACTGAGCCCCCAAATCCTCGTATCTCATGCAGATTTCTTGCTCACACTGTTATTCTGTTACTGACTCCTGGACATGAGAGGATATGTGTATGTACTGACTCTTCCTCACAGTTTCTGCAGCATATAAAACTCTAACACATTGTTATATTTTAGTTTGAAGCCTAAAATATTAGAAATGTGCATCACTTAACAGGGCTGTTGGCCAGAGCAACTTCTGCAACATGGATTTCTCTCCTACAGGGACATGGTGCTACTCCTACCGGCAGCTGTGACAAGCAAGAGGCACACAGTTCACTTCTCCTCCGGACTGCCCTGCCTCCCATGATGAAGACCCTCCACACTCTCAGCTTTTATTAATTGAGATGAACCAACAACAAAGGTAAACGGTTATATCTTTTAGTTCGTTACAGATAGCTGTACTGCAACATAATGTGTGTAAAATGAAACATTCTGTTGTGAAACCTGGGCCTGTTCTGCTTTCTGGTCGAGGGAGAAAAAAATGTGGTAAAGGATAAAACACCTCTCAAATTCTGTTAAGAGTGTTAAAATAACAAAATGACATGTGGCATTAAAGGATAGAAATAAGTATAATAATAGGAGAATTAAAAAGCAGTATAGCCAGATAAGGACTGGCTATAAGCAGGGCATTACAGTCTACTCGGGAAAGTCCAGATACCGAGTGTGGTCAGTAAGTATATGCTTACCAGCATCTGGGTAGAAACAGGTAAAATTTACAGAAGTCTAAACTCTTGGCTGTATTATAATTTAGCAGAAAATGGGATTTCATGCATCTAAATTAGAAATTATAATATTCTAAAATGGTTAATGCATGAGTGACATGCCCACAGCAATCTGCAATCCCTGTCAGAATCTGTCACTGGCAGAGATCACAATAGCAAATGGAATGGAAAGGCCACTGCAATTGTTTTCTCATGAACCAAATTGCCTACTTTGGGGAGAAAAGGAGTTTTCTGAATCTAGGTGCAATCTCTTTGGCCTTTTTCTGTTTACAGCTTTACTGTGAAAGACACAATCAGTGGCATTACTCGTACAAAACTACTGAAAGCGATGTTTTAATCAGGTTTCTGTTGCTTCCTCTAGGTAAAGATGTTTGTAGGAAGGAGGATATGGGACATCGCTAATAACTTTGTAGACAAAGATGACATTCCACAAAGAAGTCTCAAGTTAGACCAAATAGAGATTTCCTTGCTTTATCCTGGTAGTTTAGTTTGTTCAGAGACCATGGTGTCATTTGTCTACTCTCCCACAGTCAACGTTACTCTTCTTCTGCTAAGCTAGAAGATTCAGAAGCAAAAATTAACATTATGTATGCAGCTTAACTTCTGAGCAACTTCCTATAGCTAAAAGTCAGATAACACCATGATGAGCAGTGAACTCTGCAAGATAACATTACTTCTACTTTTCTGGTTCAAGAAACTGCTTTTCTGTACTTTCTTGTAAAGCAGTAAGAAAGGTGCTACAAGAGGGCGTGTGTACATAGATTTGCTCCAAGCTGTGCAGCAAATCAGTAACATTTTGCCATGTGTGGAAAAATTCTGACCTGTGTGAGGCCTTACATATAAATTAATCCTCAAAAGGACATTTTCCTGCCATTAAGCTAAATCACCAGGGTGGAGCCATGATGCACTTGGGGGTTCTACAGGGTTAATACACAGTCCCATCTGCAGGATGTGCTTTTTATTTTTACTCACTCCCTCCTCACCCGGCAAAATAGAAGGCAAGTGTCAATTAATAACACAAGCTTTAGAAAGGCATTCTGCAGAGCAATAGAGTTATCTTCATCTGCCACAACGTCTAATTTGTCAGAAAGTGGGAGGGAAAATAAACACTTTAAAATTCTTTGCTTCTACTCCAGAAATGGAGAGACCGCTGTCAAACAGAGGTGTTCCACTCATCTAGCTTCCATTAGATTAGAGTGTTGGCTGAGAGTAGGTCATGTTGAACATTGTTACCTAAAAAGACCTCCCCTCTCTAAAAACTCTAACAAATCGCATCCCTGTTTCTTACCTATCACCAGTGTGGTTAAAGTGACTGACAGAAGCTGTTGCTTTGAGTAATGAAAACATTAACTGAAAAACGAGCACACTTGCAGATGTTGCATGTCTATGTGGACACAGACGCGTCAGTATTACTAAAGTGTCTGTCATGTTAACCAAACCAACTAATGTGGCAGTTTTATTGCTACATTTCCAATACCATGGCTAGTGATTTCTACATAACTTCCCGCTAGTTAAAGTGTTATGGCCCTGGGGAAAGCAAACCTCACATTGAACACTTTTTTTTTTTCTTTTGACTTCAAGCTGAAAACTAGGGTTTGTCTTACTGGAGAAGGAAAAGCAAATGTATGTGGATTTCTGTGCAAGGAAATGGATGTTAGATTTCAACACTTTAATTCAGAGCAAGCTTTGTCTTCCACGTGTGATAATGCAGGAATACGTAATAGGATTTGGTTCACCGTGTCTGACTGAGACACTTGATTACTTTTCTTTTATATAATTAATTTAGATATCCTTACGGTGGGAAAATATAACACAATGGCAATACGCCTCAGAAAATACTTTTCTTCCTTAAATGAGAATGTTAGGAACAGCCTGGAGGGAAAAGTTAAAAGATTAAAAGCAAAGGATCAGCATGGAGGCTTCTTAATGAATACCTCATTAGGGTCAGAAAAAGGGAACCAAAGGCAGAAAGAGAAGAAAACAGTATGAGTAACTGGTAAAGTACAAGAGTTTATTCAGACCAAAAAAATCTATTAAAATGGTAATGCAGCTAAGCCCAAGAGAAGTTAGTATCATTGTAACTGTTAGTAAGTATAACATGGAAAACATAGAGGCCCAATTGTGCTTTCACTTGCACAAAACTCCTATTATGGGCAGATCATTATGAGGACTAGAAGAAGATCTGAGTAGCCAGAAAAGACAAGCAATGTATTTGTCATTTTTGTACAAGTCAGCTGGACAAGTGAGGTGCTAAGGGATTAATCAAAGAGAATGAAAGGTCAGACACCTTAATCTACGTTAGTGTGAAAGTTATTATCACCCATGGAAAAAATAAGATACTGTGGCCCTTAGCACTTTGTCTGGAAGGCAGCACACTTAATAGAATGATACCAAAACAGAAGTTGTGCCAAATTTGTACAGCTTGTTTCCTGTTTTTTTCAAAGTAAAATTTATTGCTCTATTTTGAAAATAAAATTCATTAGTGAACTCTTTACTGTCCTGGCTCTGAGACATTACTTGTGGGTACTGAGGACCAGCAACAGAGGTAGCAAAACAAAGATGGCTGTTACAGCTACAGTGCAAGCTAAGCTATGATGCTGTGAATCAGTGCATCCTCAACAAAGTGCTGTTTTGGTTCTCAAGCAAACATAACTGCACAGATGCCTGGAAAGGGTAGCACTGTGCCCTCCAAAAGGTGCCACATGAGCTGTACTTTAGTGCTAGGAAAATGACCAACTGAGCTGAGCAAATACTTGGATGCATGGCTGTCCTGTACTGACTTGATTTTTTTTGATGGTATGTTTAGGAACATGGAACAGCATCATAAAATGTATTTGAAGGCAAGATACTTTTGAACCCTCTTCCTTTGAAGTGCTTTTCAGGAAGCCCATGAGTAAAGAAATATTTTTTACCTGAAATGAAGCCTTATTTGAGAAAAAGAAAAACTAATTATCTCCTGGTAAGCTGCTAATATAACAAAGCCAAGAGGAAGACAATAAAAATGGACATCTAACAGCGGAGCTAGAGTCCCAGTTTGAAAACATATCTTGATCCCTGCCCCAAGCTTTCCATTTCTGACTGTTGTACATTAAGTAAAGAATGTGAGGAGGGAGGAAAACCTGAGCAACTTGAGTGGTAGCAGACTAACTCTTGGGCTCAAATGTACCTCATAGAGGGAAGAAAAAGGAAAACTGTATAAACTTTTAGGCTTGGGTAACAGGAATGAAGGGAGAAAGGAGAAAAGCTGAAAAACAATAGGAATTTATAAAGAAAAAGATGAAAAGGTGACATAAGTCCTATAAACTTAGATTGGGAGGGGCATGCATGGTTCCTCAATAAACAAGTTCAGGCTGCATCTTTGTACATTGTGTGCTGCCTGCTTCAAGCAAATGTGCTGATGCTAAAGCAGGGGTAGATGGAGGATAACTGCCAACAGAACATTTTTTAGGGAAGTCAACTAGTACATATTTCTCCCTTGCGTAAGCCCCCCAACATAAAAGTACAGCTGTTCAGTGGTTTTCTGGAATGTTTTACTATTTGCATGGGTCCCTCTGAGCTAGAAATGCTGAGGCACAGTACTCTCATTCAGTGTATCCCTCTCAATTTTCAGAAAACTGAGGGGACTCAGGAATGCCTTTTTATTTTCCATTTCTGTTTCTATACTTCATCTACCGATTATTAGATTCCACTAGCCAACAATCTATCAGTGACTGACAAACTTGTATGACCTAGAAGTAAAGAAAGGAATAGGTGAATTAGCTTAAATTAGGCATTTGGTTAAATCATTCTTTGTTCTGGCCATAACTCTAATTATAGCTTTTGCCTCAAACAGTGAAATACAATCTAACTATTGACCTTGCCCTAATTCAGTACCAGTTTCTTTAGATATTGCCAGTTACCTTTTGCTGTAGCCTGCTTTTTGTCTTGTCTTCAATCATGCCACTCACTGATGCATTGCCAATCCGATCTCACTTCCCTGCTGTGAGGTCGTCTTCAGTTATTACCCATTTTCTGTGCCTGTAAGAGAAATGCTACTCAACTACAATAAAAGGAGATAAACACCACAAATAGTAACCAAGCATTCTAGCTAGCGTTGTTATATAGCGGATACCTGGACAGTTTTGCTATCAAACAAAAACCAAATGGAATGAAAATTGTAAAATACACCTGACAGCCCAAAATCTGTAGTTCTTTCAGATGGCGGTGCAGCGGAGAACACTAACAGCATGCCATTTGGAGCATGATATTTTCCTACCCTTAGTTGCAATTCACTTGAAAGCTCAAAGCAATTTTAGTATAATCCATCATTTATCTGAAGATAAGGCCACAAATCATTAGACCAGCCATTCTATTTCATATGTGCTTTGTCTCAAACAATCCCAGCTCTTAAGATTTACAGTCAAAATAACCTCTTTTCTCTAGATTGTTACAGCTGAGGTAAAAAAAAAGTCAAGTAGAAGTATCACAACTCCCCTTTGTCAGATTTGTTAAATTCTGTAAAGCGTTCAAAAATTACACAGATTTTTTTTTTTTTTTTTTTTTTCCAAAGCATAAGTTTTAGAAGATGGCACAGAACATGGTATGAGTGCTCTGAGTACAATGGCTGTCTGTTGGTGAAAGTGATCTTAAAAGACAAATTTGTTGGTGTAAAGGAACTAAAAGAAATATTATGGTTAGCAAAAGCTTACCGGCTTGTTTTTCACTGCAGGGTTTTTAGGACCAGAAGAGAAGACAGAAAATTATACTGTGATTAGTAACTTCTGTTCAATAGCAGCTGTATATAAGAAAACAGCTCCACTGGAGCCTTTCTAATCTTCAGGCTGTGCAACTTCTGGGCCTCATGCATGGGGTCTACAGACCTTTAAGCTCTAAAATAAATTATCTTGCCATCTACTTAAACTCTCCAATGTATTTGAGCTCACCTTGCATATACATGCCAAAATTTTAACTTTGCATAAAATTTTAATTCCAGATAAGTAGCAGAGGTTCAATTCTCAGCAATAGCAACAGTTTTTGTAAGCATGGTGGAAACTAATCCTACAGTAGTGAAAAGAACAAAAGAAGTGTTCTCTCCACTTTCCCTCTCTTCATAAGTGATGCACATTTTTGATTTCATTTTCAGAATTCCATGAAATTTCTAAAAATTTCTCTTTGTGGTGCTCTGCAATTTTATCTTACTAAGGTTCTCAAATCTGATCCTAACGATGCAGCCGACTTCTTAAGCATACCATAGTCTTGCTTAGGATGAACTATCCAAAAATCAGAACTGCTATGCAAGAATACTGCAGAATTGTTAATTAATATCTGAGAGTAACACATGGTAGAATGCAACATCTGTGTCACTGCACTTCTGATGGAATTGTTGAACAACTGAGAGCATGAAGCACAAGCAGCAGTAAGCTAGATAAGGCTTGAAAACTGAAACAAGATTATCCAAAGACTAGAGATTTAGCAAAACATACAATAGAGCCTACAATACAAGTAGAGCACTATGGGTCTGCAGTGTCCAGGCTACAGCTTGACCCAGTCCTCACAGGTATAAGCTGTAAATCTTACTATGTTTACAACTCTGAAATGATTCTGAGACTATACTCCTCTTTCTGGAGAGAGATGACAGTTGCTGAGTTTCCAGCATTACTGTCAGAAATAGGTGAGGGGGTTATTTTGCTTGGCCATCCACCCTTGTTCCCTGACTTAGCCATTTGGCCACTTTCTTTGGCATCTAACATACTGCCCAAGCAGATCTACTCATACACTGATTAATCTTGATAACTCATTTCCCCAACTCAACTTCAGGTGTAATACATCCAAATAAAATTTTAGTCTGTTTCACCTCTTATTGAGGTGTCTCCTGGAAGATAACTATTAAATTCAGGTTAAAAAAGCAAAAGATTAGTGATGTAATGTGAGTCAGATGTTGCATTTGATTACAATAATGCATAAATATACATGCTCTCTATCCAAGTCAAGACAGAACATGACCTTTTATGAACTCACCAAGGCAGAAAAGGAGACTCAGAAACAATTGAATGCTTCTCACAGTGTGATTAGACGCCCTAAAATTTAGGTAGTAATAGCCACAGGAGAAATGACGAATACTCTTTGTGACACTAATAGCTTCTGGACATCAAGAACGTCCAGAGAAACAGGACAGGTAGCAAGCAAATGGGAGTAATTTGTTACCACTTAAAACATTTCAACTAATATTATGCTTCTGCATAAACAAGAGTTTAACAGTGTAATGAGAGTTTGTAGTTTATGAAATTTTAAGTTACCATATTAACTGGTGCAGTAAGGCACTATAGGCAGTGCCAGAGAAAAGGACTACCTAAATGTATTGCTTTAACAAACACAGAGGATAAAATTACTATGGTGCAGACAAAGTACGAATATGCAGCAAGTGCCTCTTATCTGAAGTAAAATTTTTAACAGGAATTAACCCTGACACATATCTCCATGTCTGCAAACAGTCCATAGATTTCAATAGAATTATTATTCTAGGAAGTGTAAATAAATCACCATGCTTACGTTCTGCATCTGCCTCTGTTTTTATAATACTACAAATAGTAAAAAGAAATAAGATACATTTTCATATATTTAGCAGAATTAAAGATGATATTATTCATTCAGCAGGTAACAAAGACAAATCACACATCTTCTTGTTCTAAGTGGACCATAAAAAGCAGGCTGTGGAGATGGAATTGTGACATTTTAACCTGAAAGCATTCTCCTCATTTCTGCAGTGCTGTGGATGCTGGCATTTCAGGCTGGTATTTACTGCCTTTTAAAACAGTAACTTCTAGTTGCAATTTGCACATGCTGTACAACTGAAGCAAGGTCCTGTTTCCAAGCAGGATGCCTCACACCACTGGAAATGCGCGCACTTCTGCTTTCCTCCAGTGTGAGAATTAACTCTGTTTCCATCTACTATCTTGACAAAAGTAACAGGACAATTAAACTAACTATATTCAAATTTAATGATAAACGTATCTTCTCTTAATCGTACAGGACCACTTTGCTTTCTCAGTTTAGCAACATCAACTAGTTGTAACTGATTTTTCTCTGCTGTGTAGTTCAAGCTGTAGACAGGAAAAGTGTACAGAAATACCTGGAAATATGCAATGCTGCAAAGGCATATAGTTAAAATTCTTAGTATGTGAGTGAAAGCTTAATTTGTAGGCATTCCATCATATTTTTGAAAGATGCTGTAATTGAAAAGGTTATGGTGGCAACAAACAAAACGGACTGCCATAGTCAGGAGTGTGAAACATTTGTCTGACACTAAAACAGAGCTAAAAGAGCCTTTCTACATCACCATGGTAATTACCTGCTTCAGGCCATACTCAGTCCTCCTGTTCAGGCAAAAATCTAATCATGTTAGCAGTGTATGTTCATGCAAGTGAAAAGAGAAGACAGGCCCCCTAAATGAAACTCCCTCTTTACCCTCATCTGTTGTGGGGGCTTGTGATTTTACTGAGCCCATTTACTAGCCTGTCCCATGCTATGCAACACAACACAATCAAAACAAGTTCTGCTACTTATGGAAGCAATAGAAATTTACAGTGAACTGTAGCACACTCTGGACAGAATCCTGCTGTCTCTTATTGCCATACATCTCTTAATTCTAGTCGGTTTGCAAAAATATAGAAATGGGCGTAACTGAATCCTGCAGAATTACTGTTCGTACACACCGTGACCCAACTGACTTAGTGGCCGATCTGCCAGTTGACTTGCTCAGAAGAATATAGGGCTTGTGTGCCTGTAAATGACTGGTAACATTTTGTTTTAATGTATGGAGAGTAGCACAACAGGAACTCTGTTACAGGATTTCATCGGAACATGTGGAAGAACTCCAGTCCAGTTTAATTTTTAAGAGCCCACACTAAGTTTAGAAGCTGGCTGATGTTGGAATAAAGGGGGGGTGGGGTGGGGGGTGTATTTTAACTTTTACTAACTCAAATTTAATCTCTGGCTGCAGATCTCTCTTCTTCCTGTAGAAAAGGGATGTCTGGTTA